ATCAACTTTTCCCAGATTTTTTCAAATCCTCTCCCTCCCTCTTCCTCAATCTTCTCCTTAAACTCCTTCTCAGAAATCGTCACATCCTTCAACCTTTTCATCGCCATCACCGGCCTTGCCTCAGGCACGAGCTTCCTCCACGCCATCCCGAAAGTTCCTTTCCCCAAAACCTTCACCGAAGTCCTGAGCAAAACCTCCACCGAAGCCCAGAGCAAATCCTCCAAATCGAACGCCCTAGCCGGCCCTGCCTCAACCCATTCAGCTCACAGGGCAATACCTCACCTTTATGAGCTGGGGTCAGTTTCATCAAACGCACAAACCAAAGCTTCTGTTTCTCAACATGAGCAAAGGTCTACATCCGATGATCCTCGTTGTTTGAAGTATATGATGCCATCTATTGTCTTTAGAGATTTTGCAAAATCACTTCAAGACACGGTGGGAATGCCTTCGAAGAGTACTATAAGTTATCGAAGTGTGGGTCCCCTTGGCTCTTTTACAGGGTATGCTACTATTCTTAAGAGTTCAAGGTTCTTAAAGTTTTTCCAACAGTTGTTAGATGAGATTTTTTGTGTATCTAGTGCAAAGTTTGCGAAATCATGTGATGTTTGAGAACGTGTTTCTCCAGAAGTTAGTGCTTCTACTTGTGCGGATATTGTTACTGTCAATAACACCGGGGTTACTGCAAAAGGTAGCAACTCAGGTTCTTCATCAACTATGTTGTATAATGTTTCAAAAGGGTTGATCATGATGTCATTGGCTTCTGAGTAAATCTGATTCAGGAGGTGGCTACATGAACCCCAAAAAATAGTCTTTTGGCTACTGTAAACTAAAAGTGTGTAAAAGAATAACAAGTTGCTTTTGCTTTTGCAAATGATATAATTGAAGTTGAATCTAACCAAAGCCATTTAAAGGCATCAAAGTAGGCAATTTGATTAATATGAAAGGCAACTTCAACATAAAGAGAAAAGGGCAAGAAGGGTTTTCTTCATGTTCTGTAAATGGAAGAAAAAACTAGTTTAATACAGCACGCAAGCAACAACATCTTGCCATTCGGAAAAAATTAAATAAAAAATTGAACTTGAAATTTAGAGAAATAAATGAATGATTGAGTATTAATTTAAACAAATCACCAAGATCCATGATCAAGAACATACCCAGGGCTTGAGGGGTAAACCCACGTGGATGTTGAAGCTGCAGATCAAAGAGGTAGGGACACTAACAAACAAAGAAGAATTAGAAGAAAGAGAATTTTGTCAAGAAAGTCCAAACAGAGATCAATGATTCGTTAAGAATCAATAACCGCACCATTAACTTTCCCTCTTGTTCTCTTTCTCTAGTGACCTCTTCTCCATTCTCTCCTTGCGGAGGGTTCTTCGTGACGGCGTGGAGGAAGGCGGTGCTTGAGGCAGGGCCGGTGATGGCGACGAAAAGGTTGAAAGATGTGACGATTTCTGAGAAGGAAGAGGGAGGGAGAGGATTGGAAAAAATGTGAGAAAAATTGATTCGTGTTAGAAAAAATAAAATGACGTGGTATCACCTTTAGCCACCTCAACAGATTTTTAACGCCGTTGGTTTTGGAGGACCAAAAATTATAGTTTCTTTAAGGAGAAGGATCAAAAGTGTACCTTACTTTGAAAGAGAGACTAAAAATAAATTTGCTTAATAATTCAGGGACTAAAAACATATTTAATCTTATTTTTATCTCGGTAATTTTTAAAATACTTTTTTATATGGAAAATAAAAATTATTTGCAATCATTTTACTTATAAATAAAACACTAATTTTCATGATCAAGATGAAACTAGTTTGGTCTAAGTGTTTTTTTTTTATTTAAATTAAAAAATTTCTTTACATGTATTGTTTTCGATTTAAACTATGATTTATAAATCAATTAATTATAAATTTGTATTCATCCTAGATGTTATTTTAGATATTAATAATTTTTAATTTATAAATTATTATTTAAATTAATCACTATAATAATTACTTATTTTTTTTCTAAAATTAATTGTTATTTAATAATTTTATTATAGTGTGATATTATTGAATATTAAATACATTTTTAATTACATCAATCATTAATAAATTTCAACCAAAATTAATATAATTAAAACTTTTATAATAATATTATATATATTTTTTATACTACAAACGAAATAAAAGAGAAATTTTCGAAATTTTATTTGAGAAAGCTAATGATGTATGTTTGAAAGTCTCCCAGTTGAACCTTTACAACCATCTTCTTCCTCTACTCAGTTACCGTGTTAGGCGGCTAAGTTGGCGCTTTGTATACACTCACAACATTGTTTTTCTTCTTCTTTGCGCACGCGTTTTATTGCTGTTCAGATTCACTTCTCCTCTACTTCTAGTTCCTCCTAAATAATCACAATGCATGATTCTAAAAACTATTGATCAATTTTCAACATGGTTTTTAAAATTCTTACTTTTAATTTTTTAAAATATTTTATTTTACTCTTTTTATGTTTTAGAAACAATCATTTATCCCAACTAGTCCGTTATATGTTTTGATTACCGAAACAAGTGAAACCTTCAAGGATAACTTACAACTGAAAAAAAATTAAAAACATTAAGTTGCATCAATTAAATATTAAGCTTTTTCATAATTATGTTTTTTAAATTATTATTACGTGTGTTTTTTATTATGAGGTTGTGTTCAAACATTTGAGAATGTTTTGAAAGTTCAAATACTCGTCTTTATACTAGGGAGGTTATCTAGAGAAAGTATTGATATCAGTAAATTTTGGTAGAAAAATCAATTAATTCGTATTAAATGCAATTGCTTATTTATTTACTTCAAATTTTTGTATTTATAAATTTGGAAATGAGTTTTGGGTTAGTAAAATTCTAATTATACCCTAATTGAGAGTAGTCATGTTTTGTCTTTTGATTGAATAACGTTAGGATTAAGTTTCCTATATCCTGACCATTTTAGCAGTTGATTGTGGCTGTAATAAGGTCTAAAGAGTGGTGTACGATCATGTTAGGAGCATGGTTGACTGTTTGAACTATCCGATGAATGATCATACCGTATAATAATGTGTAAATTATATTATATAGTATTTATTCTGACTTTTTTTATTAAAAAGAAAAGATAATACAGGGAAATATTATTTCCTTATTGTCAAATTAATTTCGAAGCAAAATCCTATCAAATCACAACAGTATATTAGAGTAATAAGCATTAATAAATTAAGTTTAATTTATAACTTATGTTAGACGCCTTATGACAATATTAATAAGCAGTGATGTTATCATGTTATCTAATATAATAAAAATATGTTGTTTAAATTGTTAGTTCCTTTTATTTTAACTTTGATGTGGATGATTCTATACTATTTTTGGGTTTTAGAACCAACCCGACATCATGCTAAAATTTAAAATCCTGAAAAGTAGGTAACAAAGATTAGTTTATTTATATTCAGACAAATTCGTAATAAAGTGAATGCAAACAAAGTCCAACAATGAATACAACTAAGGACTTTAAATTATTGTGAGAGTATTGATATCATATAAATGACGAAGGATTTTATTAATAATTGTAAAGTTTGTATTTGGGGAAGTTGCTTTGTGCAAATAATTCTATAATTTTGTCTGTGTATGTGTTAGCCAATAGGCAACTATCTATTAATAACTGTTTTCTTAAATCTTAAAATAATAACACTCGTATTGATTTATTAGTATATTATATATTATTTTTTTTAAATTATACTAAAAATCAATAGCATTGCATTGTATTTTAAAATTAATTACGATAATGCCAGAACACTTAATAATAGTTTCTTTGTGCAAAGTAAGAATCTACGAGTGAAATAATTAATCTAATTGCGAACATTGCCTATTTTAAAATTTTTGTCTCCTTAATTACCTAGAAAAAAAAACATTTTTTAGTCAACAACTTGATCTTTACTCGTGAAAGTTCACATTTGTCTTAAAGAAAATCCGTCTATATCCGAACTCGTTCTTTTAAGGTTAGGTAAACTGATCAAAATTAAAAATATTAATAATGTATCACACATTTTTTTTCATTCAACGAAATGTGTTAAAAATTATAAAACTATGTGATTTTTTCTTTGGTTTAACAAATCTTAATTCTTGTATTAGGCAATTTTAGTAAATTTTAAACAATAAAATAGTATATTTGAGCAATCATATATTTGCATGGAAAGTGATATTTAAAATAAATTAATAAAAAATTCCATGATTAACACATTAGTATTTTAGTTATATATAAGTTAAAAAAAACTAATATATATTATTATATTATTAAAATAAGCTGTTAGGTGAATGTTTTTAGAGTACTAAAATAACACTTTTTTTTTTTGTATTTTTAAATACCTAAATATGTATAAAAAATATAATAAAAAGTCATTTTATTAATTATTATAATTATATAATAGAAATATTTTCGGTATCTATTTTTTTGACTGACTGATTATATATAGTTTCGCATAGATTATGAACACTAAAAAAATTTCAACACAAATGTGAAAGGTAAAACAAAAATCATTTGGCTATTAACGTTATCCATTTGAGATGCCATAGACATACTTTTCATTTTAAAAGAAGACGAAGACCCTAACCTCGGAGTTTTATAATCATACAAAGTGAACGCATGATTAACGAGGCAGTAAAAAATTATGAACTTGCCTTATAAAGAAAGACCAAAGACTTTCCCTTCATTTACTTAAAAACATTAAATTTAAGGTTTCCTCCCACTAGATCTTTACAATGATTATTCTCTAACATAAAAAAATATTTTTTACAGAAATTCTAAAAAATTTAATAAAAAAGTATATAGTGGTAGATGGTGAAATCTACCAAAAGTTGTTGAAATCTTGCGTTAAATATATTGGATTTTAAAATTGTTGGATAGATAGGACGATGATAGTATGATAATAAATAAATGACGGGGTGTGATTATGATACCAAATTCTTCAACTTAAAACTCTTTTCCATTTGTATAAATATGTCGACGCCGAAGAAGGAAATATCAGAGATTTGCAAAACGTAAACCATGTGGGTGTCGGAGAAAGCAGAAAACACCACAGACAACGTGGAAGTGGTAATAAATGTGGAGAAAGAAGATGAAGTGTGTGTGTGCCGTGTCCCGAAATCCTTGATAAGCGGCCACCCAGAAGCTTTCAGCCCTCACTTTGTGGGGCTTGGACCCTACCACCGTACCCGCTTTGAGCTCACCATGACAGACGAGCTCAAGTTAGCTGCAGCAAGAAGGATCATGAACCACGCCTTCGAAATCCACCTCTCCGATGTTGAACCTTTCTACCACCAAGATACCTTAAAGTCCTATGCCCACGAGAAAGACATGCTCCTCAAGGGTATCACCATCGATGGCTTATTCTTGCTGGCTTTGCTCAACAGGAGTCTCGATGCCCAACCTCAGCAGCACACTTACTTCTTGACGGGAAAACGTGGCATGCCCCTCGTCAACGCTTTTGGTGTAGAGTTGACCATCGACGCTGTCAGCAGGGACGTTTTCATGCTCGAGAACCAAATTCCCACCCGTGTTCTTCATCAAATCGACCAAGTCACCACCCCACACGGAATTCAATCACACGATTTGGGTGCAAAAATGTTACGTTTCTGTAAAAAGTACTGTCCACTCGCCAAGCCTGAAAGTCTCTCCAAAAACGCAGAAGAGCATTCTCATTTGTTGGATCTCATGTACCATTTGGTAGCACCTATGGCCCCCCAGACTGCAATACCTAACCCTGAGGTTGACAACGAGGTTGACCCTGAGGTTGGCCCCCACCCTAAGCCAGATACAGCGACGACTGAGAAGCCTGAACCTGTGGCAGTGATGACTGACAAGCCACCCGAGTCAGTGGTAGTGAAAGCTGAGAAGCCCGACATGAGAAGCAGTAAGACAGAGAGAAAGGGATGCTGTTTCATGTTCCGTTCCATATGCTTTACGATACTAATCTTTTTTATGATCATAGGCTTAATTTTGTGGTATTTGCTTCTTTTGATATGGCGAATAGTTATTGGTGTGTTACTTATTCCTTATCGTATTCTAGCTGGTATTGTTAAAACAGTGGTAATAGTATCTGTGATGTTTTTCTCTTCCTTTCTCCCCGTGAGTGAGGACATGGCAACAGTAATTGGTCGCATGAAGGCACCAAAATCAAAACAACCTGAAGAAGGAAAAGTTTCAACGTTGGGCAACATCTTACCTAAGAAATGGGTTGATAGAATTCGGCGGTACTTATTTGGGGACGAGGATGAACGCCCCGCTGTTACAATCCAATCCGTGACTGAACTGGATGGTGCTGGGTTTCACTTCAAACCCGCGAACAGCATCAAAGACATTAGATTCGAGGCTAGAAAGAAGGAATTGTTTTTGCCTGTTATAAAATTAGATGAGAACTCAGAGGTGATAATGAGAAACCTGGTGGCCTACGAGTCATTGACTAGATCCACCTACTTAATCTTCACTAGGTACATTGAGATTATGAGAGCTATCATAGACACTCCTGAGGATGTGAATCTGTTGGTGAAGAACGAAATCATTGTGACTAAGCTGAATGATAAAGTGGTGGCAGACCTTTTCAATGGGATGAGTACATCCATTAGGCCTACCGAAACTCCTGAACTGGAAGAAGTGATGAAGAAAGTCAAAAGGAGGTTTGAAGATAGCCAGTGGCTACACAAGCTGGTGAAATACGTGTCTTCTTCTTGGAAAATCCTGACAGCTATTGCGGCTTTTTCTTTCTTTGTTCTGAACACCGTGCAAACCTTTTGCTCTGTTTATGACTGCGCTTCTTATTTCTCCTCAAATTTGGGTAAACTTCCAGCAGTTTCGGATAATGGTTTAATAAGTTATATTTAAGGCTATCATTGTATTTCGTAATTGTACTTGGTTGTTTATGTACTTGAGTACCGTGTTTGAGTATGTCTTCGGTTTCCTTCGTTGTGCCTTCCATTTCTCTACTTATGGTTTGGATCCATTGTTTTGCTGTGGTTCCTTACCTTGGTAGAAGTTCTTCATCGTCATTCTTAGTTTATTTGACCTTTTACAAGTAAGGTATATATAATTTCCTTTTTTTGTTATTATGGTTAGGGTTAAATAAGAGATTTTCCCCTTTTTTTTCAGGTTATTTGGGATTACTATTGGAATTGTGATATATTTAGTCATTTCATTATTTATATTGTAACAATTTCATGTTTTCTGTTTTTTTTACAATAAATATAGCATACGAAATTTTTTTATGATGTTTATCATTTCCTTATTATTGTCAATTAATTTTTAAAAGCAGATTCCTTAAAAATCACAACAATATATTTTAAGCATTAATCTTAAGTTTAATTTCTAGCTTATGTTAGACTTATTATGTCAGTATCAATAAGCAGTGATGTTAGTTAATGTAATAAAAAAACTTGTATAAATTGTTATTTCATTTTATTGATATGGATATTTTCATTTTAAGATAACGTGAGTAAGATCATTATATATTCACATTATAAAAAAATTAAATAATTACAACTGAATTCTTTAAAATTATTCTTTAAACTAAGATTATATAATGTTTTGAATAATAAAAAACATTTTAATCCAAAAATTGAATAAAATAAACACTACAAAAAATAAAACATTTTGACAACACTCTTTTTATTGTTAAGAGCCTCAATCGATAGTTAAGACTTTTAACACCCAAATGAAAAAAAAAAAATGTAATAACACAAATCTTAGTCGTAAAATAGTTTACGATCGATTTTTAATTCGATTGCTAAATAATTATCGAAAATTCGATTTTTAATTTGGTCACGTCCAAGTATTGAGACCAAATTAATAACCAAATTGTGCTGAAAAATTGTGCTACTAATTGAACAAAACTTTATTAGATATTAAAAAAAAATTGACCAGTAATGTAACCAAAATTTGATTGAATTTTAAAAATATTAAGTTGCTAATTCTTGGCTAATGAGACAAAATTTTATTATTTTTTAAAAAAAATTGATACAAAATTTTATTAATTTAAAAAATCGGTTGGTAATTTAGGTTACAACTCTTAGTTTTCAGTCAATAATGTGTAAGATTTTTAATTTAAAATAGTTTTTACAGTTAAATTAGTGGCAAAAAATAGAAACATTTGCCTACCAATATCTTTTGATCAGTAAATAACAAATTTAAATATTTTAACAAGAGAAATATCAGTAACTAACTTTATGAACAAGACTTTGACCTACTTATAAATAAAATTTTGATAGGTTTATGAATAATTTTCTAACTTATTGTACATTATGATTTCCAGTGCACCATCACGTCGATTATCTAGGTCGAATATCTAAGTTGATCGACTACTTAGGCCAACCATCCAGGCCGACCGACCACTAGGCCAACCACCCAGGTCAACCGCATGGTTAGATTATAAATGATGATAATTCATTAAAATCCTAATGCAGGTTAAGGTGTGATTGAGTTGTCATTAAGCCAATAAAAGGTAAAGGTCCATCACCAACTACTATAAATAAAGGTCCTAGGTATGACTTTAGGATCACGATGCACAATATATGCATTACTTGTTGTGCCAACCGCTTGGTTACATCACTAACTTGAGCGTCGGAATGCCTTTGACAGATACCTAACTTGAAGGAAGGAAGACAACTAGGAAGTCTGTCTGGTCTTCAAGACAACCTGAAGTGCTTTGAACATCAAACGTCCAGTCTTCAAGTCAACTTGGAGTGCTTTGAGCAGCATCGATCCGATTTTCAAAACAACATAGAGTGCTTTGAGTAAGAGACTTCAACCCTATAGCCGAAACACTGATAAATTATAAAAATTTAACCATATTAAATAAATCAACTCCACTATATAATGTAGAAAACAATAATACAAAAGTTAAAATCTGCATGATTAGACATAAAACCAAAATGAAAATAATTTTAAATAAACATAACTAATGATTTTTTGGTTATCTGATTTATCATCATGGTCTATATCAACTCTCCTCTTAGGAAGATTAGAAAAATCTGACATAAGATTCTTAAACTCTCCTGTTAGGAAGATTCAGACCTCACTAGTTTTGTTTACCCACTGAAAACCAAGATAAGTTTTTTTAAAAAAATAAATTAAACCTTTATAGATAAAACAAAATAATCAATGACAATTTTCCATTGCTATTGCCATTTAGAAGAAGGATTTCTTTCTTTTCAAATTCAAAGGACGGTGGAATTCCAAAATTGGATGTTCAATTCCATGATATGCACATTCATAAACCACAAATAAGAAAATTAAATACTTATAAACTAAAATACATGTTGGAAGTCTCACATCGACTAGAGATAAGGTCAATTCATAGTTTATAAGTGGGTGCAAACCTCATCTTACAAACCGATTTTGTGGGGTTGAGTTAGACTTAAAGTTCACTCCTAATAATACATGAAATTCAATTACAAATTATAGCACTAATATATTACTATTCTTGAATGTTAAAAAGTAAAATTAAACATTCCTTTCAATAAAATTAAATAATTACAAATTACACATTTTTATAAGATTTAATTCTTAAATCTTTCTTTTTATCCTAATTGTTAATTCCTTTCATTCTTTCTTGATATTTTATTCCTTTTGCCAAACATGCATGGGGTTTCAAGCATTGATGTGAAATTGGATGAAACGAACCTAAGGTTTTCAAATTTATTGGTTTGTGAATTTTCCATCAAATTTAGGAAATGAGAACTAATGTGTACAACGAAATCTTAAAGTATTTTTAGCGACCAATGAATCTTCGGTAATTAATACAATATTATTATTTTTGGTAGTTAATATAATATTATTCTGATCACTAATTTGGTGATTAGCAAGTTACATTTAACCATAAAAACATATCTGATCACTATTTTAATTATGATACAAAGAAATGTTACTATATGCATTAATTCGGTTGCTATTTCGATTATTAATTTGCAATTATTACCATTTGATAATTATTTCAATTACAATTTACGATCAGCTTTTTTCGATCACAAATTTTGATTGCTAAATTATAATGTTTTTTAATGAAAATTCTACGGTTTATATATTGACATACTATTCTAGCAAATATTTTTATCCAAGTTGCCACCATCATGCTAATATTTAAAATCCTGAAAAGTTGGTGAGAAATATTAGTTTATTTATATTAAGACAAATTCGTAATAATTATAAAGTGAATGCAAACTAAGTCAAAGAATAAATACAACTAAGGACTTTAAACTATTGTGAGAGTATTGATGTCATATAAATGACGAAGGAGTTTATTAATAATTGTAAAGTGGAATTTGTATTTGGGGAAGATAGATGCTTTGTCTAAATAAATCTGAATTTTGTCTTGAACGCTATGGCCACTAGGCAAATGCTAGTTATTGATCAATGTTTTCTTAAATCTTAAAAATTATTTTAAATCATTAATCAATATTTATATGATAACACTGATTAATAATAGTTGTATTGTTCTATTAGTATATTACATATTAAAATTTGTTGACTTATACTAATCAATTGCATTGCGTTGTATATTATAAAATGAATCATGAAAACGTGTGAGAACACTAAATAATTAATATTTTTTTTGTGGAGGATAAGGTAGTTAGTAAGAATCTAGTATTAAAATAATATCATTAAACTAGTCGCGCACAAAAAGCTTATATGTCTATTTAATTAACTAGAGAAAAAAAACATTTGTTAATCAACAACTTGATCTGAAATTATGAAAGTTCACATGTCTTAAAGAAAACCCGTCTATATCCGAACTCATTCTTTAGGATTAGGTAAACTGATTGAAATTTAAAATATTAATAATGGAACACATATTTTCCGTTCAACGTTATAGACAAGTTTTTCATTTTAAAAGAAGACCAAGACCCCTAACCTCGGAGTTTTTTTAAGTCATACAACGTGAACGAGGAGTAAATAATTATGATAACAAAATCAAAGACTTTCCCTTCATTCAGTAAATAACATTAAAAGTAAGACTTCCACCCACTGGATCTTTAGAATGATTATCCTAAGACCAAATTTAGATCTGGATCTCTAACAAAAATTCTAAATATAATTAAAATTTCTTATTTTGTATTAGAGAAAGGACACATCTCTAACATATTTTCTTTATAGAAATTGAAAAAAGTTTTCAAAATAATAAAAAAATACATTTTAAATTATTTTCTTTTAAGAAAATACACATTATAATCGTTAAAAAAAATAAATTCAAGGTTCCCTATTGAAATAAAAAATTAAATAAAATGTTAAAAAAAGAGTATAAGACAGGGAAATCTATCAAAAGTTGTTGAAATCTTGGTATTGGATTTTAAAAATTGTTGGATAGATGGGGTGATGATAGTATAATAGTAAAAAAATGATGGGGTGATGATTATGATACCAAATTCTTAAAACCCTTTCCATCTCTATATAAATACGTTACGCCGAAGAAAGAAATATTCAGAGATTTGTAAAACCTAAACCATGAGCGTCACGGAGAAAGCAGAAAATAATGTGGAGAAGAAAAAAGAAGATGAAGTGTGTGTGTGCCGTGTCCCGAAATCCTTGATAAGCGGCCACCCAGAAGCTTTCAGCCCTCACTTTGTGGGGCTTGGACCCTACCACCATACCCGCTTTGAGCTCACCATGACAGACGACCTCAAGTTAGCTGCAGCAAGTAGGATCATGAACCACGCCTTCGAAATCCACCTCTCCGATGTTGAACCTTTCTACCACCAAGATACCTTAAAGTCCTATGCCCACGAGAAAGACATGCTCCTCAAGGCTATCACCATCGATGGCTTATTCTTGCTGGCTTTGCTCAACAGGAGTCTCGATGCCCAACCTCAGCACCACACTTACTTCTTGACGGGAAAACACGGCATGCCCCTCGTCAACGCTTTTGGTGTAGAGTTGACCATCGACGCTATCACCAGGGACGTTTTCATGCTCGAGAACCAAATTCCCACCCGTGTTCTTCATCAAATCAACCTAGCCAACACCCAACACGGAATTCAATCACACGATTTCG